AAATTATAGTAAAATTAGTAGTTTTTCTGTAGTTTTCTAGAATTGTGTTTTGAGTTAGAGAAGGTTTCCATATTTTAGAAAGCCATTCTTTGATACAATGTATAGAGATTTGATTTAAGAGTTTATTAGTGTTGAAGCATCTTTTTATATTATTATTGCAGGTTTGTAATATAAGTTTGTTAAGTGTTAGAGTATTGAGTAGTTGTGGATTGGTTAGAATATCATTGTTTGTATTAATAGATAAATGGAGCATATGTTTGATGCATTTTGTTAGAAGATTTGAAAGTTGTTGAAGTTTGTTTTATGGAGAAGAGCATATTTGAAGTAGATACTCTATTGATGGTAATAGGATAGTATTAAATAGATGAGATATTTGTATAGAAAGGAGTTTTTTGTATTGGATAGTATGGATAAATTGGAAGGTTTTGTCAAAGATTTTGTCAAGTGTTGGTTTAGTTAATCCTTTTCCATCAAGGAAAATTTTTAGATATTTGATTGTTTCATTGAATTTTCTAGGTGTGATTGGTTGGTTATTGAAGGTGAGAGGTATAATATCTGGTATAATATTAGGTTGTGTTTTTTGGTTGAGTGTGATGTGGATAAGGTCTGATTTAGATGAGTTAACTTGAATATTATTTAGTTGGTAAAGTTCAGATATGTCGTTTAAAATATCTTGAAGATTATTTTTAGATTTGCAGTGCTAAACTGTGTCATCCATAAATGCAAGAGGTTGTATTGTTATATATGTTGGTGCAGTTGAGAAGATTTTTTCTAAAGAAGATTGTGATGAGATTTTGAGAAGTTTTGAATTGTATTTTGAGTTTATATAGCTGAGAATAGGGTCATAATAAATTTTCCAGACTAATGGAGAATAAGTTTCTTCTTGTTTGATGCCTGAGTATAGTATGATTGGGTTAGTAAGGCTATAGGCTGTGATCACTCTAGCTTTCCTATCTTGGTGTAAAAATTCAATAAAGTTTAGGCCTGATTGGGGAATACCAATACGTTTGCAAGTATTCAGCAACCATTTAATGTTGATTTTGTCGAAAGCTTTGGACATATCTTAAAAGAGTATCTAAGCTTCTTTGTTGTTAGTTTTGTAATATTCAATTGTATTAAGTAATATTTGTATAGGAATGTGAGTAGAGCTGTTTTTGGTTGTTGCAAAGTTGAGATTACTTAGTAGATAATGTTGGTTAATGGTGTGATCAAGGCGTGTTGTAAAGATTTTGGTAAGACATTTTTTGATGAGTTCAATAAGTGAGATAGGTCTAACTTGATTCAAGACGAAATCCTATTAAGATTTCTTTGGGATTAAAAATATATTAGATGTTTTTCATATTGTTGGTATTTGTTGTAATAGGAGACATTTAGTTAGAAAAAGACGAATAATATTTTGGGCTTTAGGATTTAAGTATTTTAGGTGTTCATAGTTAGTTTCAGAAAGACCAGTAGCTTTTTGGTTTGGAAGATCATGTATTGCTTTGTTCCATTCCTCTAAGGTAATTTCTGAAAATAAATTTGCAAAAAAATGTTCATTTTCTGAATAGGATTTGTAAAGTTCATAGAATTTTGTATTTGGTTAGATAGAAGTATATGATAGTTCTTTGAAATAATCTTGAAAGTGGGATTGTAAAGCTTGTTTTATTTCTATTGGTTGAGTAGTGAATATGTCATTGGATAAAAGGCGGTCTAAATTAATGCTATTGTTATGTTTTTTTAAAACATTTTGGAAGAATATTTTAGGATTTTGGTAAAAATTGTTGTTTCTTTCTTCTAGTTTGTTTTGAATTTCCTTTAGAATATTTTCTTGTTTTTTCTTGAGAATTTTAGTTTTAAGGGTTTTGATTTCAGTTGTGAGAAGGATTGAGGAAGTAGTAGAATCAAAGTTGTTATTTGTTGATGTTAAATATAAAGGAGGTAGTAGGGAGTAATGTATTTTAACTTATAGTTGTTTGTATAACAACTATAAAAGCAATCAAGAAAAAGTATACAATTAGTTACTTATATAACTTTAGTTATTATTTGATTCAAATTGTTTGCTTAAAAATTTTATACTAATTGTTATATCTAAAACCTGTTTGTAAGTTTTTTATTTAAATATTTTAGACATTATATCTACTATTTATCTATTTTACCAATTGTATTATAGTGTAAATATATTATAATTACTAAGTTATATTTAATTTCATACTGAATTTACTAAAATCTTTTATATTTTATACTTATAATTAACCTGATATTGATTTGATTTAAATCAATACTTGTAGTTGGAGTTAACTATTAAACTACTATATTCTTATAAAGTTTATCTAAATTTTAGTATTTATCTTTCTAATATCTTTTTTATTATTTCTTACTAAGTATATTTAAGTTTAATAGAACTTTCTAAATAATCAATTTAAATAACCCAGTATTGTATATTTATATATATAGGAATCTACTATTTCTATCATAGTTATATAAGATTTTCTATTTTTAGTTTTTATAACAATAATATAAGATAAAATAGAGTATTGTAACGAAGTTAAAGTTGTTATTAGTAAAATTTTATACTTTATTATATATTAACTAATTTTTTTTTTTTGAATATACATGACACTTATTTTAGAATAGATTTAGTATAAATTATCAAAGTACAGTACCAGTTTGGAGCATAATAATCAATTCATACATGAGATACAAAAAATTGAATTTTGAAAAAGTAGAAGGTATTGTGACAAATTGGGGCCAGGTACCAGTTAGGGTTACTTTTTTGATTCAGTTATGGTTAACAGGTTATATAGGTATCAAGAATACAATTTATGCAGCACATAGATCATTATATGAATGTATTGGCATTAAAAAAAACTGTTATCTAATTTTTTTTTAAATTGTTTATAATAGAACTTTCAATTTGAATTTTCATTTTTATAATATCAATATGGTTTAAAATTTTGTCAGATTGTACTTTAAAAACTATTGTACTTTAAAAACTTAACTTTAATATTCACATTTAACATCCAGTCAGATCTAGTTGTTCTACTAACTTGTCTTAGAAGCGATTCTGTTAATAATGCAAAGCTAGTATATTAAATTTTTAATTTTTATATAGAATAAAGTGACTATGTAGTAAAAATTATTAGTTTTTTTGACTTAAAGTTTTGCTCAAATACTGTACAGTATGGACTAAAAGACCCTCCTTTAATAATACCTCTCATAATTTTTAGCAGCCTAGAATGTATTGTACCTGAGGTATTAGAGATAGATAAATTGAAAATAATAGTACTTGAAATGTAAAGTACTTCCAGATACTAAGAACCAGTTAATTGCATTTGGGAATGTACAATAAAATTATTGTTAAAACTAATAAGAAAGTATAGCAAGATTAATTTATAAAAAATTTATCATTGGAGTTTCAGTTTAATTACAAATATTCAAATATTACTGCAGCACTCATATAGTGCAACTTATACTCCCCACACTGATTATAATATCCCTCCGACTATAATACCCATATATACTGCTTAATTGTAAAGTACAGGTATTTTAGTCTATGCTATATAGTAGTTAATAATTAAAATTATCAACTTGTATTACACTATATTGGCAATCAAACTTGATCTGCTTTAACAGATTTCCGAAATTAAAAATTGTATAATTTTTAAATTTTTTTTTTTAGTTTAATGCTTTATTGAACAATACATATTTAACCTAACTAACAATAAACTTTTTAATAATGAGTCTATTTTTACTGCATTTTACCTTTATATACTTCTTTTTCTCATTTTTTTCACTCATGCTCTTCCTTTTTTTGTTCTAATTTTTGCTGTCGTTTGATTTTTTTCTGGGCTGCCAACACTTTTTTCCATTTCACCTCTTCAACTTTCCTTTCTGCTTCTTTATTTGTCTCTTTCAACTTTTGCCAACTTTCATCATTAGTAAGAAGTTGTGCAAATAGAAATGTCTTTCTTTTTTTAAAGAAGGGACTAGGCTCTTGTTGGTTCACTGAAGAAATATCTGAAGGTCCAGCTTGTGGAACATGAGAGATGTACTTGAAAACTGAGTATAAAGAACTTGTTCCGAGACTTTTATAGGTTTCTAATTCCTCTTGGGTTGCTGTAAGTTGAACTTTTAGTAATTTAATTTCATTTTTAAGCATCTCATTTTCTGATATTAACTGGATAAAATTTATGCAGGTATAATGAAAATGATTTAGTTTAGTAGTTGATTGTAGAGAAGACATAATCAGTTTTGAAAGCTGGCTAGGAGAAGGTACAATATCGAATTGTTCTGTTGCTAGTGAAGGGTTTAAATGATCGGGACTAATGGTCTTAGAGTTAAACAGCCATATTCCTGTAGCTTTAAAAGCATTACAAATAGCAGACAGTGCATAAGTCTCAATAAAAGCTGGTCCAAAAAGTTTTGCGAAGGTGTATTTTGTTACTACTTTGCTAGTAGTATTATGATATTTATCATACTATTTTCCAAATTCTTTTTTTAATTTTGCAAAAAGAATTTCAAATAGTTGTAAAATATGAGTCATGTGAGGTAGAAGTGCATAAAGAAGTATTCCATTTTGGTGACAAAAATCAATGCATGTATAGCTGATATGGCTCTTATAACCATCAAGCATTAGTAAAACTGGTCAAATTGGAGGGATCGAGTTAATGAAATGAGTAAGGTACATTTGGAAAAGGTCCTTATACATATATCTGATATCTGTAAAACCCATTACTGCTTTAGAAGGAGTGCACCTTATAGCAAACCGGGAATTGTGTGAACATCCTTATAGTAGAGATAGTAAATGTTTTTTGTAATATAATTAAAAATAGAGTATTCAAACTTTAATTATCACATGTTTTAAACTGTTTTTTTTTTTTACCATACTTACTTTATAGATAACTAAAGGCAGAATGTATGAGCCAGTGGCTAAGATTGTTGGTGCAACTGAAATATGTTCATGAGAGTTCCCATGTGCAACTTTATGGACCTGATGCGAGCCTTTTTTTGCAATAACTTTTTCTAGTTTAGGTATAAGAATGAACCCAGTTTCATCCATATTCCAAATTTGTGTTGCTGTAAGTGAATTTTCATTAATTATTTGTTTAAGTTTATTAAAATAGTTTTTAATGATTATCGGATTGGCTCTTTGTGTACGAGCTTCAGATAATTCTTAAGGGGTACGAAATGATAATTCAGGATGTTGTTTCATGAAACAGGTCTATCAGTCTCAACCTGGCCCTTTATCTTCGAATGAATATGGTCATTTATTGTAGTGAATTATTTCTATTGCACAATGATTTACTCCAGACTTAGTTAAACCAAATCCAAGCTGTTGCATGTTCATGCAATATCCAACAAGTTGGTTTTCTCATGTTCTGTAAGAATTGTAAATGGACTCCAATAATTTGAAAGGCCACCTTTCTTAATTGCATGTTAAAGAGTAGCTTCAGAAAGCCCAAAGTTTTTTGCTGCACAATTTACACTTGGGCATTTGGTGCCAACAGGATAACTGTTTAACTCATTAATTGTTGCAAAAATTGTATTTCATTTATTAAGGTAAGAAACTTCTGGCATTTTAATTAATCTCTAATTAAAAAAAATAGTTAATAAATAAAAAATAAAATAAAATAAAATAAAGATAATTAAATAAATAAATAAATAAATAAAATGATAATTTAATAAATAAGTGATTAATTTAATAAAAAAGATTAATAAAAAAAAATAAAAAAAAAAGTGTTTAATAAATATAATAATGAAGTGATTAATTTAATAAAGAATGAAATGATTAATTTAATAAATAATAAAGTAATTAATTTAATAAATAATGAAATGATTAATTTAACTAATATAATAAAAAAATAAAGTGTTAAATAAAGTGTTTAATTTAATAAATAAAATAAAGTGTATTTAATTTAAATAAAAAAAAAAATAATTTAAAAAAAGATCATTACTAATTAGAAAAAATAATAATTTAATAATTCAAAAAAGTTTTTTAATTTAATAAATAAAATGAAAATAAAATAAAATTAATTTGATAGATTAATTGATTAAAAAGAATGCGTGAAGTAATTTATCCAAAAATGAAAAAATAGTTCAATTTTGTTATTAGATTTATACTAAGTTAAGTTCAAGTAGCCTAAATATAAATCTAATACCAATATTCTTGAATAGCTATGTTTTAATTTAAAAGCAACTAAATATAATGAAGTAATGAACTTAGAAACTACAACTTGATAGCAGTGATGATAAGTAACAATACTAGTATGATGTTATGAATACAATTAGAATGTGACAATATTTTTTGTTTTTATAATTGTTTTATTTTTTATATTCAAGTAATACAATTAAAAAAAAAAAAAAAAAACACTAGTTGAATGTGCAAGATTAAATTAACATGAAAGATTAAATTATCATTAAAGATTATAGATTATTTTGAGTTAATTTTTAACTTTAAATAAATAATACTAATAAACTTCTAAATGTAAATTATCTTCCTAACATTTTTAATTAATGTCTCAAATTAGAATTTGACATCAAATTTTTAGCATTTAAATTTGCATGCAAATGATCAAAATTTTTTTTTATTTGTATTACTCGTTACAGTATTAATAACTGCTTCTTCCCTTTTAGGCATCTTATTATATAAGTCTTGTTTCAATATAAAAAAAAAGACATAATTACAAAGGAGTTAAATAATGAGAAGTTGGTTTATTAAAAGTTTGTCACAATACTCCTCTTCGTCATAATACCTCTATTTACCTTATATAAACTCTCTAAACTTTAATATAAATTTTTCTTTTATTAATTTTAATTCTAAAATCTAATAAGTAAAAGTTTCTTGGACTTTTAATTAAAGTTATAAAGCTTGTTTTTCTTTAAAATTATTCTGATAGATCCCAAGATATCGGAAATCAAAAAAGAGAGCAAAAAGATCTACAAATTGCTAGTTATACAAAGTTCTATTGACAACAATATTTTGTTTAACTAGCAATTTGTAGATATTTTTGCTCTCTTCTTTGATCCCAATATCTTGAGATCTATCAAGCTGATTTTAATAATTTAGAATTAAAAAAACAAGTTTTACAACTTTAATTAGAAGCCCAAAAACCTTTATTTAATAAAAGCTTCTTTAATTTTTAAAAAATATATTTCTTAAAATTTAATTAGCTAATTAAAAATAGAATATTTTAAATATATTATGGTAAAAATAGCAAAAATTTATGATAGAAATAGGCCATCTATATATATATATATATATTAATAATTCTAATAATCTGATTAATATAAAATGTTTAATATATAAATAAGTACATATTTATTTAAAAATATAAAGTAATTTAAACTGTCTAAATAAAAATAATAATTATTATTTTAATTGCTTTTTTTACATTAATTAAAAGAAGCTATTAATTGCTTTGCAGATTTATATAAACAAATATAAAAAAACTTTTATTAGTAATTTATAATTTAGATACAAAATATTCTTATTCTAAAAATCAAATAAAAATTATAAATGAAATTAAAATAACAATATAAATAGTAATCAATACTTATTTACATAATTATATAAAAATAAAAACTTAGAAATCCATTAGACTCTTTTTTTATTTAATAAAAAATTAGTAAGATAACTATATAAAAATAAATATATATATTGTTATTACAGATATAAATACAAATAAAAAATATTTTTTTAGTAAGAAAAAGATATAAATATGAATTTTATCAGAAAATTATTAAAAAAGATTTTAGAAATTTTATATATTGGTTTAATAACATAATTATTAAAAGATAAAGTTAGATTTTAGTAAAAAAAATAGAATTAAAAAAGCATGTTAAATAGTTTTTTACTATATTTTTGACCAATTTACAATTTTTATTATTAAAAATTTTAGTTATAAAAAGTTTATTTTTAAAGTATATTTTATTATTATTAAAAAAGACATAGTTACAATTAATAATTATTATTTCAACAATAACAAAAAAAACTCTTTCTGCTGATCTCTTATTCCAAAAACAGACAAGACAAAAATAGTAGCAGCAAGCAAAAACTAGCTTAGGAAACCTATTCTAATAACTTAAAGAAAAAGAAAGTAGACCAAAAACAATATTAAGTTTGATAGAAGCTCTTTTTTCTTTAAGTCAAGTACAAAGTACAAAAGAACAATTTGCCTTTTTACTTTGAAACTTTTCTAGAAATTTGGAGAATTGGCAAAGTCTCAGTTTGGCAGATCAAATTAGATTGCACAAAAATACGTAAACAACAAAGTAAACAAACAATAGATCACATTTCCTTTTTGGTTAAGTAAATAAATTACAAGAAAACAACAATCATGCAATTAAATAACAACAGAAAAACATGTGATCTTTTTTAGAAAAATCTAAAACAATACTACTAGTAGATATTAGTTGATTATCATTTAAGTGCAGATTAGAAGATAAGTGAGTTATACAAGCAGGAGCTATTTAAGTTTATTTGGGGAGCAAGTGGAAAAAATCTTAGTTACTAAATAGCAATATGTTAATTAAAGCACTAAAAGACACAACACTACACAGTCCAAACAATATAAAACAAATAGCATACAGTATAGCAATTAGTAATCCAAATGAAATTACAAAACAGGATTTGTTAATTTATGGTCAAGTTCTCGAAGTGTTAAGGCAAATCGAAACTAGAAGTTTTAAAAAAACATTAATTAAGAAATGGGCAATGAAAGCAAGAATGATGTAACACAATCCAGGAGCAATTAACTATATAGCTAATATGAGTAGTTCAACAATATTAAAGAAAAAAAACAGAATAAAAGTAGAAAAAGAAGATGTAAATATTAGCTCCCAACCAATTGAACCAAAAAAGTGAAAACAAGAAGAACCAACAGTTGAAACAACAGAAGAAAACAGTCAGAACAATAGCAATAATATGAAAGATCTTGCTACAGTTATAGAAGCTAGCACATCAAGTCAAAACTACTGAACAACAAACTTAAAAAAGTTAGCAGTTAAGATTAGTGAAGTTGAAAACAAAAATAAAAATAGTAGAATGTCTTTAAAAGCAAAATGCATTGAGTCAAGTTAAGATAATTCTAACTATGCTAATAGAAAAGAAGATGCTAAAGACCAAGAAACAAATTCAAAAGAACAAATCAACTTAGCACTACTAGAAGATAGTCTTTGGTCACCTCAAAATAGATTATATAACAAAGAAAACTCATTTAAAGCAAACATTCCAACATACAAGATTCCAGATGAAACAAAAGAATACAGAATTAATTTTATAAAATAGATGCTTAGAAATGACAAATACATCAAAAGGATAGAAGAAAGTTTTCAAAATGGAAATAATTAGATTATAGTAGAATTTGATTGTGAATATAGCAGAAGAACAACAAGCAAAAAAATATTAAAAAAAGAAGAAAATTGGTGTAAACTCATCCCTATAGAAGTAGAAAAACAAAAGAGTAATCTTAGCTATAATACAATTAGAGAAAGGCAAACCCAAAATTTTAAAAATAGCATAGCTAAACAAACAGCACTAAACTCATAAAAGACTGAATATAAACTGCACCTTACTAAGCAAACAAACTATACCAATTCATATCAAAAGAGAAAAGAGAAGATGAAGGATCTAAATTACTTAACTATATGGAATTTATCAGCAAACATCAATTATGAAGAAATCGAATTCATGTATAGAAGTATTAGAAATGCAAAAGTTGTAAGAATTAAAAGATCTCAGTTTAAAGCACTAGCAGTAATTGAAACAATGATCAGAAACTATACAGAAATGCCATGATTACTCCTATTGGACAACAACAAATTGGTATAAGTAACACAAGGGGAAAAAGATTATGAGCAAAGGAATAAACATAGTCGCTTTATAGCAAAACTACTAGAAGTACCCAAAGGAGCTTCTGAAGTTCTCCTGCTTAGAAGCCTCAAAAACAAAAAAGCAAAATTAGTGTTTATGCCAATTAACAGCAATAATACCTCTAAAGGATTTGCAATTGTCATCTTTGCAAACCAAGAAGATTTAGAATTAGCACAATTAAAACCATT